TCTCTATTGTTGCATAAATCATCATTGTAATTTTTTTTCCAATGAAAGTGTCACTCCTTGAGAATTCCAGGAAAGTCATAGGACATATTATGCAACATTACCTTAACAAATTTCAAGTCTATGGTACTCGGAAGATCTTCGCATCTACCTTAAAAACAAACAACAATTAGATAATGAAACAACAAGTCCATACCGTTTGCCATGAAATTTTCTTTTAATTTTTCCTGAGAGTATAGGTGCAGCAAGTTGCAAGAAGTCGTCAACCCATTATTTCAAAATTTTCAATGCTTATACACACACACACACATAAAAAGAAATATATGAATTTTCTTTGATTGATTGGATTGACTTCTCATTTTAAAGCAATTAACAGTTAGTGGTTCATTCTCAACCAATATTTTCAATTAAAAAGCTCAGAGCCATAAGAAAACGTATTAGGATTTTCTTTAATATGTAAAGAAGCACTAAACACATGATGACGTCGTTTAAGCTCTATAGCTACACAAATTATCCTTCGGTTTATTGGCCTTATTTGAATAGCTTAGGCAACCTCCATCTAATACTCAGGCGAATGTCGAGAGATTAACTTACACCCTACATGCAGCATGTTAAAGAAATTGAATTTTTTAGTCAGATACTGTTTCCCCAAAAATCCTCTAGTGGCCTAATCTGTTCTAACACAGCTTTCATAAGGGAATACCAGATTGAGCAATATCATCTCCAGATTTACTATCCTTGTTGAAGGTAGGATTGACAAAAGAGTGCTCCCTAAGTATTGGTGACAATGGTGGTGGAATGATTGGCTCATTCTCCCCTTCTAAGTGTGTTGGACTGCCTTCACCAAGTCCAATCTGTAAAGTCTGAGCAACCTTCCCAACGTTTCTTTTTGGTGGCATATTTACGCCTTTTTTTGGAAAAAGGAACAACGGATCTGAAAACTGTAAGTAAGACAGGGTGATGTCCCACTGGACGTGCCAAAAAAGGATTGTTTCCCCAACAATTCTCTAACGGCCTCGCACGTGTGAAATTTGGATGCAGGCGTACCACTTATTTTGTTGAAAGTAAGAAAGGTGAACTTTCCCAACAACCCTTTCCTTCCTCACGGTTGACCTCTTTGTAAATGGTGGGAAGAACGTTGAATTAAAATTGAAATATGCGCCTACAGATGATTTGCAAGAGGGAGGGATACCTTCCTGCAGAATGAATTACGAAATCTGCCTTGGACAATTCCAAGGACTTAAACACTACTGTGACTTAAAATTAATAAATTCTAATTGAACTAAATAACTTGCAATTTAAAATAAATTTATGAGAATAAAATGTGCATAAATTAAATTAAACATGTTGAATGTTAAATTAAAATGCTATCTACTGGCAGATCTAGAAATTAAAATGTTGCAGAATTAAAAATTTTACCCTAATTAACATTAAAATTAATGTGAATAGTGATTAAACTACCATGCTTGAGGTTGAAAAGAGGTATGAATACCACATAAGTAATCATTGAATAAAATGCTACTTATCATAAACATTAAATTAATTGCAAATGGAAAGAGAACAATACCTTGCATAAACTTAAAAGATTGAAGTTCATTGCATGAAAGGAAATTGTTGAACTGAATACATGAATTAATTTACCTACTGGAATGATGAAAAACAACCTAATTCTAATGGAATCTGTGCTAAAATTCGAAATTTGGAAGTAGATTGCAAAGAAAATAAAGTTTAAAAATTTGCAGATGTTTGAGTAGGGCTGGCCGTCTGTTCTCCTTTCCAAAATTTCCTTTTTGTTCTCCTTGTACTGGCAGTAACTTCCACTTTTTGCAGTTACTCAATCACCACTTGTACTCTTATTAGATAAAACCTCCTTTTTAACTGCAATCTTCTTTTATTTTTTAGCTCCCATTATCCCTTTCTGTCTCAAGAAGATAATTACTCCATAAAAAATAATATTTACCTCTCCTCTTTTGCTAACACAAGTGCTGATCTGTCATGGGACTCAGAATTCAAATCTGACATTCTTTTTTTATGTTTAACTATTATTAATTTGTTGGAGTTTTTTTGATAAACTTTTTAATACAGTGACTCAATCTCCTCCAACCAATAAAAAATATTTTACACATGACATTAATTTAAAATTTTATAATTTATGGTGTAAGCAAATACCATGCGCATATTACCTTCACGAATATAAAGACTACACTTAACTTTTGAATGTGGTTGCAGCTAGAATAGTTTAATCAGTCAGTTTGAATACTAAATATTAATATTATTAAGGCATCTATTTTCTGGGGTGCAAGATTATTTTCGATGAGGCTGGCATGTCTAATATTTCTGTTTGAAGCATGTGACTTAAGAAGCAGAAGTCAAGCTCGTTAACCAAAGATGCATTGATGTGTTCTTTTGATGGTTCTAAGTTTCTTTCCCTCAACTGCATACAAATTCAAACAGTATTTTAGATAACTGAGCACATGGTCCTTATGCACTAAAATCACCATAACAAGTGTACTAGTCGCTCCAAGTAATATAATGATGATAAGAGTGTTGAATCCACGAGAATTGTGTCTAATTAAGTACTAAAATAATTAATCCAAATTTATTTGAACAATCAAATGGGAAGAAACTTTAATTAAAAATAATAAAAAGAAAATAACAAATAAACCTAACCAAGGTAGAAGGCACTAAGGCATTGATTTCACCATAATCAATCAATATAAATTCTAGATTAATATACTTTCAAAACCAATTTATTGAGTGTTATTGCATATGATGGCGGATTTTCCTAAATTAATTAACTAACTTTCTCAAGTCAAGTTAATCCTTCACTAGTTTGTTAAATTAATCATATATCTATGTAATTTTAAACCAACTAATGAGTATTAAATTCTATGGAAACCTCTAGCTTAAGAAGGGGGAGCTCCTAACTCTCTTCTCTTCCTCCACTACCACATGTGAGCTAATTACCTCTCGATCTCATAGTCTAGCACACGGTTTATATTATTATTGGTCTAATCTGCGCAATTCTTTTTCAAGTTCATGCATAAATCACTAAATCAATTGAAAGATAATCAGGCTTCCAATGTATTAAGTTTAATAATATAAACTTCTCACGCGAATAACTTTAATTGAAAGAATAAAATCACAAAATCCATATTGAATTAATTAAGCTATATCGTAGCCTTAGTAGAATAAATCAGTTCATAATAAAAATAATAAAATCTACTATCATAGTTATGAACAAGGAAGAATAAAACCCAATTTGAGAAAATTACAATCCTTGATCTCCTATTATTGAATCATCTATCTTGATCTCCAAGAATGCCCAAAAAAAGGCTGTCACAAGCCTCTCAAAACTCTCTTTAATTTTGAATTTGGATGGGTATTTATAGGATTTTAGAAACTCTAATTGAAATAGAAGTAGAACTTGGAACAGAAATAGGAAACTAAATTTTGGATGCTGATCGCGTGGTACTGATACTTCGGATTACGTGTTGACACAAAATAAGAAACAGAATCTGATTCTGAACGTTTAACGCATGATGTCGACACAGATCATGTGTCAGACACTACACCTGCGTCGGGTTTCTGGTTTCCTTTAGCAATTTCTTCAATGGTAAAATAGCAGATTTGGTTCCTGACTTCTAGATTCTGCACAAGTTGATCCTCAAGTCTCTGATCTCTTCAATTTACTTCTAAAAGGCAAGATTTCTTCCAATTAAATCCTTTCCCACACAAAAAATAAAAACCATGTAAAATCAAACGAAATCCCATAAAATTCATCCAAATATCAATAATATCAAAGTAAAAATTCCCTATTAATATGTATATAAATTTAGCTCATCAGGTCCCATACTGTTCCAAAGACCAATTAATTATTACTACGGTCAATATCTGATCAGTACTAGCATATCAGGTTCCTCAGTTCATCACTGAACCACATAGCGCTTCAAGGCTAAGAAATGTATATTCTAACAAGAAAATGTAGAAACTTTTCAAGAAGCCTGCCTAAACAGACTCTTTCATGTCTCCATGCCTTATTTTACTCCCTGTCTATCCATCACAGGAATTCATATGGATTTCACACACACATAAACCCAGAAGCAGATTTCTTAATTCCTAGTGGCATAAATGATCCGATAAATTCCAGTTTCCCAAGCATATTAAAGAAGGCCACTTAAGATAATTAAAGCAAATCCTCAAATTTCTGAACACTTGAGCATTATTTTATTGAAAAAAATGTAGCTTTCAAACAATATTAGGCGGAACCCATCAATCTTAAAACCACAAACAGAGAGAAAGTAAAAATCTTGTTCATGGCTAACGGCTATTGATAACTCACCCCAGAATTTCCATTCGACAAAGCTGGACAAAAAATGAAAGCGAACCCAGCGGGTCCAGGGTCCTTGAGCACGAGACCCTCACGCTGGTGGTGCTGAGGACCAGCATTGATGATAGGCATGGCGTTAGGGAATAACAGATATCTAACAAGGGAAAAGAGTAATTGCGATGGAGAGGCTAAAGGATAGGGAAGTAGGTTGTAAGGCTGGGAACTTCTTTACTTCATCCTTATTGCCTCAATGGCTTAATCCTCCAGGGGTATCTGCAATTGGTTCGGCATGGTTTAAGGTCTACTGTCCTCAGCAATGGTGGGCTTATTAGGCTTTTGGTTGTAGGGCTTGAATGAAACTAAAATTCCAAGAAGCCCAATGCAAGGATGGGCTACTAGCCTATTAAGATCCCCAATGCCCGAAACAAGTTGAGATTCCTCCACGCTTATTAGTGTTGCGGCTCTAGTTGCTTGTGAGAAAAGTTCAGTTTCTAATTTGAGAGTAGGCTAGTCTTGATGTGATCAGATGAATGAAAGCTAGTGTTCTTCCCACCACTAACAATCTCCAGTAGTTTTACGCCAAAGCTATCCATATCTCACTTTGCAATTTAACAATCAATTTATACAGGTTAAAAGATCAGAGAATACAGTAACAATCAAATAAATTATGATAATTGATCCCAACAACAGGCTGATTCAACATTTTCAAATTTATATATTTTGCAGAATCAGTTTTAATTTTTTTTTTTTTTTTTTTTTCAATCTAACAGATGAATCTCAATAACAATAATAATAGTAGTAGTAAAAAAGTGGGGTCTCACTAATCAGAAGTTATCGGCCTTCAACACGTGACATAGTAATCTCACATACGGAGTTTGGATTGTTGTCATTAGGTTGATCAAATTTTGATGGACTATGGAATGTAAAAGTAGGTTCTTTTGGCTGCAAAAGCTCTGTTTCACTGCTTAGCATGGAAATCACAGCTGCCATGGTTGGCCTATTTTCAGCATGGTCCTGAACACAGAGAAGAGCAGCCTGTATGCACCTCTTTACTTCAGTCGAGGAAAATGAATCAGCCAGTGCTTCATCAATTAAGTTTAGCTCCTTGCCTTTATTCCATAGTTGCCATGCCTGATACAATGTAGTGTGGGTCAGTATTAATTTAGAAGACAAATAATGAAGAGATGCAAATTTGAAACAAGAAGTGCAGTACTTACATGGGAAAGAAGGCTTAGATATTCATCGTTATAGAGGAACCTGGTAACCTTCTTGCCACTAACAATCTCTAATAGCAGAACTCCAAAGCTAAAGACATCTGATTTCTCAGAAAATATTCTAGCCAATCCATACTCAGGAGACATATAGCCACTGAAATTTATTTGGAAGAAAGAACAAGCAAATTAATACTGATAATGTTTATCAATAGCTACTTTTCTTGTTAGTACTATCAATAGCTAGTTGAAGTGTTGAACCACATAATTTCTTTATTCAACTTAATTCCATAACTCTTCACTGGTGTTAGCTAAATCTATCCGTTTAAGGAGAAAATCTAAGGCTTATGGCTCAGCTTATTTGTATTTGTGCACTTTCTGTTGCCAATTTTTGAAGGTGATATTTAATTCATGAAGAATAATAGTTGAATAAGTTCAAGAAGAAGAACTGTGCTTACAGTGTTCCAACCACCTTGTGAGTATTTGCCAGATATTGTGTCCCTTCAAAGATCCTTGCCAATCCAAAATCTGAAATTTTTGGGTTCATTTTTTTATCTAAGAGAATGTTGCTGACCTTCAAATCACGATGTATAACCCTTAAATGAGAATCACGATGGAGATAAAGAAGCCCACGAGCAATCCCTTGGATGATGTTGAAACGTTCTGCCCAAGATAGTTCTGCTCTTTTTGTTGGACTTGGATCTAATAAAATGCATCCATTGGAAACATGATTAACACTTACAATTCTCTTTTGATGCAATATATCAAAAGTTATCAGCAAAATTCAGGCTAGAAAGATTACTAATCCTGCAGGCTTAATTCTAGTAACAATATTCAATGCAGGGAAAAGATCACGACTTTATGGAAGATGATATGATGAGATGTGATATGATGTAACTGAGGAAGAAAAGAAAAATTCTTGGCGGAACCTACCAAACGAAAAATTATCCAAGCTTTTGTTGGCCAGAAATTCGTAAATTAGTATTCTTTCTTCTCTTTCAACACAGCAACCAATTAGCCTGACAAGATTTCTGTGTTGTAGTTTCGAAATCAACCTGACTTCATTCTTGAACTCTTCTAGACCTTGTCCTGAGCTACTAGAGAGTCTCTTGACTGCTACATCTGTTCCATCATGTAGCTTTCCCTAAAAAAAATCACAAATTCATCAAGCTGTGCTGTCCAGGTAGCTTTGTAGAACCATGAAGCACTCTTTCTTTGAAAAAGACATAATTACTCACCTTATAAACTGGCCCATATCCTCCTTGCCCAAGTTTATTAGCCATGCTGAAGTTGTTGGTAGCAACTACCATGCTATCAAAATCAAACAAAGGTAGCTCCTGTGGTTCTCCTTTTTTCACAATGCTTCTCATCATATGTTCCAGCAAAGTGTCCCGAGGACTATCCCTTCTAGCATCGAGATCAAAGTTTTCCAAGGTTCTGTTTTTTTTACCTGATTTTTCAGATTCAAGTAATGAATTCATCCATTCCAAGCCATGAAAGTAAAAACAGATAAGAAAATAATAAAAAGGAAAAGCTATTGTATGTAACAATGTTTTCCGAGAAGAAAGTGATTTAGGGCTTACTCTTTTAGTATTGAATTCCATCTTTTGAACACACAAAGAATTTCAGACAAGTTCCCTCTTGTCCTTAGAAATTGAGAAAGGATGGGTATAAATGCATTAATTTCATTTCTCATTCATCATTTCAGTGATTTGACATTTTACCTTCATGGCTTGTATCTCAAGAGTGGAGCAATCAGTGGTTCTCGCCGCATACTAAGTTAGGAATCTAGTCATCTAGAAAATTATTTCCGAAATTGATCTGTAGGACAATTATTGTTTCCTATAAATCTCCTAGAATTGTTTTAGAAAAAGAATCTCCACCAAATCACTAGTTCATTGTGGACCTTGTTTTGGCAGGATCAAAGTGAATGGCATTCTATCCAATAACTGAGTAAAACTTTCCATTTATACAAACCAAATATCAAGATTCAAGATCAGTTTCTTACCAATTTTTTTGGATCTCTGCCAGCATAAGCCACAGACTAAGGCACCCAAGATGATGATACAAGAAACGGTTGTGAGGCTGATAATGAGATCTACTCTTAGCTTCCCATCAGCTGAAATGGGAACAACGCGCGGATAAAATAATGAAATGAATAAAGATGAACCAATCATCCGAAGTAAAGGGAGAAAAAAACTAAAATCATTTTTGAAAATATTGCTTAAGCCAGTAATAAGTGCCGATTAATTAAAAATAAACACAGAATATAAAATTTATTAACTAATTATTACATTTTCATTTTATTAAAAAATTCGACTTATTAAATGTAACAGAGTGATATATCTAAAAAAATAATGATAAATACAATAAAATTTTAAAATTAAAATTTGAGACTATTAACATAGCATAAAGTATGTTATTTAAAGTATTAAAAAAATTATATATCATTTAATAAATAATTTATTTTATTTTTTAAAATCCATGTTATTATTTATGTTAACTAATTTAATGATATAATATAAATCATATTATTAATTGTAAAATTTCATTTCTCTCTATTGTTACTCTTTTTAAAATAATACCGATGAATTTAGTTTTAAATAGGTCTAAATTCATTAAAAAATAAAACTATTTAAAAATAGAGGAATTAATAATATGAAAAAGATTAAATATCAATTTCAATCTCTTAATTATTTTAAATAGTTTTTTAATCTCTTTAGCTCTAACAATTGTACCATTTTGAAGTGCAATTAGGCCCGTTAACTTAATCTACAGTGACTTTTATTTATTTATTTTAATGAAATAGATAATACAACTAGGAAACAATACTTAGTTACTTACATTACATGGACTAGAACTGATGCGACCTACTCAATGATAGGTTAAAAATGGAACCCACTTAATGACATTCAAAATTATCTGCTTATACAATTTTTTTATATTAAATTTAAAAAAAATTTTACGTATCAATTAAATAATTAATTAATTAATTATTTAAAAATTATAATATTAAATACATTTATTTATTTAATAAAATATAAAAAATTTATCTTTGTATCATAATTAATTAATTATTTACCCTGAAAATGAAAAAAAAAAAAAAGAAGAAGAAACTTTCATTCGAAGAACCCAACGATTACCAGGGTTAGAACAAAGTAAAGTTAAATGCATCCTTGTCAGAGCTTAAATGCATCATCAATTTTGATAGACATTACGCCTTCACCTATTCGCAACAAACTCTGGCAGAAAACTTCTGAAATGATTCCGAAAGCACCTGGCATAATAAACAATTTAATTTAAGGGAAAATCAGAGAACCCAAACAAACAAAATCCAGAAATCTCACTTCAAAATCTAAACCAAGCAACGAATTTGGTGCTGCGAAGTTCTTCCATGGCAATGCAAAAGCAATGAAGGCACCCATTAGAAAACCCAAAATGTGGGTTCAAATGAACCCATACATCTGGATTTCGAAAACTCAGAAATCTGGGTTCAAAAAACCAGAAATCTGGGTTGCCACAAACCTAGAACAAGGTTCGAACAAACCCAGATTTGGGTTCATTTGAACCCTATTCATCTAGGTACACGCAAACTCATATCCGGGTTCGTTCGAAACCGGGCAATTCATCTAGGTTCCATGCCAACCCATAGCCGAGGGGGTTCATGAATCCAAATCTGTTAGGTTTAATGAAAGAGGATGCATAGGAGAGGGGAAGAAAGAAAGAAGGGGATGGACGATTGGAGAAGGTAGAAGGGACGGGTTTGAAGAACAGATTCGTAAGAACCCAGAATTCTAGGTTTCAAAACCTAAAAAACTGGGTTTGTACAAACCTAGATCTAGGAAGAATGAGGAAGGGAAGGGAGAAAAGGGAAAGGAGGAAGAGAAAAAGAAAGAGATCAGAAAAGGTAGCAGGGAGAAAGTGATGGAGAAAAGAGAGGGAAAGGGAGGAAGAGTTGAATGATGGTGTTGCGGAACATGAATGGTGAAAAAGGAGTATCGAGGGAAGACGGTAAAGTTGATAGGGGTATAAGTGTAATTTTAAATATTTTAATATCAAATAATTATAATAAATTTAAGAATTTGATTTGAGTTAATGTTATTATCCTCTCTTCAATTATTAAAGTTATATTTTTTTTATTTTAATTAGTTATTATATTATTTAATTTTTTAAAAAGTAAAAAAATAAAAATT